GGATCGCGCGGGGAACGACCCCAAACGCTTCCCGCGGGGGAGGGTTGCGGCTGCTTTCAGGGGCCGGGTGCGCAGCCGCGCAGAGTCCGGGAGACGGACTCCTAAAGGGGGCGCTGCGCGGGATCTCGGGTCGGCGGAAGCCGGGGTCTTCGGGGGTGAGAGAGGATAGCGCAGGCCCCGGGCGGTGGCGGGCACTGGGCGTCCCGAGGACCAGGCCCCCGTTGGAGCCCACTCGGGGGTCCTGGGGTTGAGCGCGTCTGCCCCCATCCCAGCCCGCGGCGCCATGGCTCACGTCGGCTCTCGCAAGCGCTCGAGGAGTCGCAGCCGGTCCCGGGGGCGAGGGTCGGAGAAGAAGAGGAAGAAGAGCAGTAAGGACGTCTCGAGGAGCTGCTCCGCCTCCGGCTCCCAGGGTCGCAAGGCTAGCACTGCCGCCGGGGCGGAGGGTGAGGAGCGCGGGGACGGGGGAAGCGGGTGCGGCAACCTCGCGGGCGGAGCTGCAGGCGGCTGCGGGGCAGTCGCAGCGAGCGGTAGTCGGGGGCGCCGAGTGGAGCGTTTGGGTTGCGGGCCCCGGGAGGGCGCGCGGAATCGTGCCTTGGGCGCATCTGGGCCTGAGATGTAGGGACCGGCCGCCCTGCCCTTGGAACTGCGAAGGGCTCCCCGAGACTAAGCGCCCGTCTCTGCTCTGGAAAGCCCTGTGGACTGCCTGGTCCCCTCCCGGCCTTCCAGCCTCACCTTCTCCCTGCATCACAGAGAGAAGCAAGCACAAGGCCCGGAGGAGACCACGATCCAGCTCTTCCTCCTCTTCTTCCAGTTCTTCTAGCTCCTCTTCCTCCTCCTCCTCCTCCTCCTCTTCCTCCAGTGATGGCCGGAAAAAGCGGGGGAAGCACAAGGACAAGAGGAGGAAGAAGAAGAAGAAAAGGAAGAAGCTGAAGAAGAAAGGCAAGGAGAAGGCAGAAGCACTGCAGGCTGAGGCCCTACCGGGCCCCTCGCTGGACCAGTGGCACAGATCGGCTGGGGAGGAAGAGGATGGCCCAGGTACTGTGCTACCCAGCCTGCAAGACAGGGAGGGTCCTCTCCCTGAGGCCGGCCACACCTCCCATCTCTCTCTCCAGTCCTGACGGATGAGCAGAAGTCACGCATCCAGGCCATGAAGCCCATGACCAAGGAGGAGTGGGATGCCCGGCAGAGCATTATCCGGAAGGTGGTGGACCCTGAGACAGGACGCACCAGGTGGGAAGCCCTCGGCACAGCCTGGCCCTCACTGGTGTCTGGGAGTGTTGGCCCAGGAGGTGTGCTCTCAGGAGGAGGGGGAATGGCTGCTGTTCCTCTAGAAAGACCCCGTGTGGGCAAAGTCATTTGTGATGTGACAGCTCAGCCGTTTCTCCCTGTTGCCTGGGGTAAGCAGTGGCAGGCGCTGGAAGGGCCTGGAACAGACTCTTCAAAGGCTGCTGTTGACCAGACACATGGTGGAGGCTGGCAAAGCAGAGCTCACTGTGGCTGCCTCATCCTGTTCAAGAGCGGGAAGGGGTTGGGGCCCGAGCCCGGGGACTGCTCTGCCAAGTGGCTCTGGTTCTGTTGCTCTGGTATTCCCTGCTTCTGTCTGTTCCTTGCTGAGTGGACACTCTCTCACCCCTAGGCTTATTAAAGGAGACGGCGAGATCTTGGAGGAAATCGTAACCAAAGAACGACACAGAGAGATCAACAAGGTTAGTTGTGGCCCCTTTGCCCCAGTCCGCCCCCAGCTCTGTTTCTGATGTCTTCTCTCCTCCTGTGTGCTTTTTTCCTCAGCAAGCCACTCGAGGGGATGGTCTGGCCTTCCAGATGCGAGCTGGGCTGCTTCCCTGAGGGTCCCGGCTAGCCCAGCCTGTGGATGGTGCTGGTGGCCTGACCTGGAGGCAGGCTGCAGGGGCAGCAGGAAGGCTGATGGGTACTGTAGGTCTTTCCTCCTGCGGATTGGCCCAGCCTAGCCTCTTTTCAGGTATGGGGGATGGAAGATGGGGCCACTGGCCTGCTCAGCACCCCCAGCTGAAAGAACACAGCTTCCCAGATATTAAAGGCTCCCTGGTTGATTCCTCTGTTCTGTAGCTTTTTGAACTGAGTGGGAGGGGAGGGTGCTCCTGACTTTCAGCGAAAAACAAGGGCTCTAGAAGCTTTGGGGAAAAGCAGGGGCATCTCCTAGTGGTAGTGTGCGCAGGCCACATCAGCCATCTGTGCCTCCTCATCCTCAGGAGGCTGGGTCAGACCCAGACCCAGACCCTGACCCCAAGCCCAGAGACTTGCCTAGTTTTTTCTTTTTTGAGTCAGTTTCACTCTGTCACCTAGGCTGGAGTGCAGTGGCACGCTCACAGCCACTGCAGCCTCTGATCCTTCTGCCTCAGCCCTCCAAGTAGCTGGAACTACAGGAGGGCAACACCATGCCCGGCTAATTTTTTGGTTTATTGTAGAGACAAGGTCTCGCCAAGTTGCCCAGGCTGGTCTTGAATCCCTGGGCTCAGGTAATCCTCTCACTTCCATCTCCCAAAATAGTGGAATTATAGGTGTGAGCCATCGCACCTGGCTCAGAGGCTTGCCCCTTAAATTCTGTTCACTCAGGTTTGGAGAGAGACTGCTCACTTGCCCTGTTTACTCACAGATCACTTTAGGAGCCCCTGTGCTGGGCCAGGAGGCCTGGCTTCCATCTCTGCCACCCAAGGCAGGGCCAACAGCACCTGCCTCACTGAGTTCTAGTCTGGGAGGGGCTGGGAGCAAGCCAGGTGGAGTCAGCCCTGCGTGACTGTGTTGGTATCACTCTGCTTGTGGCTGGTCTCACTCCCACCAGGAAGGGTGGCCTCCCCACCACAGCTTCAGTGCTGGGACAGGCCATGCCCCCCTCTACGCCCCCAACCCACTCATCCCCCATGGTTGCCGGCGCAGTAAAGAGACCCAGAAGGAAGCCTTCCTGCTTCTTTAATTGGTGTAACAGACATGACGCTGTATACAGAGCACACTCAGGCCCAGTGGTGCAGGGACAGCAGGGTGGGCGGGTAGTCAGGGCACTGCTCACACATGGCTGAGACATGGCCCAGGGACAGACAGGAGGGGGCTGACTGGGAGGACCACGATGGGGTGGGCAGGCAGGCAGCTTAGGTCGAGACAGGAAGGGTGGGGGGTCTCTGCTAAGTAAGTCCCTCTTTAGAAATCAAAGAGAAGGCAGGTGGTTGGGACTGGGTGCTGGGCTGAGGTGGGCCTGGGGCCTGGGGCATGGCAGGAGTGGGACTAAGGCTTCCATTCTAACAGGCCTGGGGGAGCAGTCAGCAAAGCCTGCCTCACCCTTTGGTTGTGACTGGTCAGGCCTGAGCCCTGCAGCTCAGCACCCAACGCTGTAAACATTTTTGGTATTTTTAAAGGATACTGCTCTCCTCTCATAGTTTCAGAAAAACTGGTGCTTCCTCAAGAGGAGAATGTGCCAGAAGGAATCTTAAGGGAGGCAGAAAGCAGACCTGGATACAGAGAGAGACTGCAGTGGGGAAGGTGGGCTGCCCATCTTGCCATCTATGGCTAAGGGCCACTGGGAGAGGCCCAGGGGACTATTGCTGTTGTCCTTGGCATGGCTGGCGGCTGGGCAGTCAGGCAGAGGGCATATAGCCGTGGGGGTGCTGCCCCTGGGAGAGGCTGAGTCCACGGCCCACAGGGCCTCCCTGGACCAGGAGGCCTCCCGGCCTTTATTGCAGGAGGGCCCGAGACTTCCAGGTGCTTCCCCAGATGGCTGGTCACCGAGGCGGTGGGCAAGGCGGGGCAAGGTGGGGCCGACAGAGAAGTGGCGCTGGCCACAGGGCCCAGCGACTTCCCACTGGGGGCAGATATTGCACTTTCACTGCAACAGTTACATGAAAACTTGGTCCATAAAGTAATCGTTGCTTTATACATAATGCCTGAACAATAACGAAAAGCTACATCTTAAATATGAATAGACCCTGAAGGTTCCATTCCTCCAGACATTTTTCTCTGCACAAAATAAATAGCTTTCACTCTGCATAGACCCACTTTTGCAGAACATTTACAAGACCCTTTGGCTGTACATATCTACACACAAGAAAAAGTTAGCATCGCTCTGTGCACTGCCCTGGTTTTGGCCACACGGCCGTGAGGCTGGATCCAGGTTGGCCACAGCTTCTTGGGGACACAGCCTGGTCGCTGGACAGCTGGCCCAGGCCAGGCAGGCTCCCCAACCTCAGGGAAGGAGGAGGAACAGCAGGGGGGCCGCCTACGGCCGGCAACTGAGCACCACAGCCCAGGTCGGTGTGATGCTGGGGGAAGGGCTGTTGCTCAGACCCGGCATGCAGGACAGCATGATCCTTGTTTAGGTGAGAAGGGAAGTCGGGGCTGCCTGCCCTTAAGCTAACAAAGCAAGTTGTGGCTTCTTAGATTCAGCATTGAAACGGAACTAGCATTTAAAAAAACCTAGGTGTGTGCCCCACCCACCCCAGAGTAGAAATTCAGTGGGATTAACAGGGTCAGGTGAGGCAGGGAGACCATGCCCTGCCAAGTGGGCAGGGGCAGGGCCCAGGGGACCCAGAACCAAGCTGGACTCCGTCACAGTGCTGGGTGTTTTCAATGTGGAGGGGCTGCGCTTGGTACTCAAAGAGTTAAGAAAAGGAAGCAGCCAAGGATTGCTCATTTAAAAAAACCTCATAGAAATCAGATTGAGAAGTAGAAAGGCGTAGAAACGCGGGTGGATGGCCATGGCACGGGCCGTGACATGGCAAGGAGCGGAAGAGGAGGCCCGTCAGGCCCGAGGCGGAGTTACTAGGAGCCGGCTCTGGGCTTCACCATCCTCGCCAGGACTGTCCCCAGGACCAGAAATGACACCAGGCCTGTGGCGGTCCTGGGCTCCAGGTGAGGCAGGTGGGTGGGCAGGTAGGGATCCGGGGTTGCAGAAACTAAGAATATGGCCTTTCTTGCTTGCATGAGGCTTTGCCGCGCTGGAGCCTTCAGTGTGGTCCGAGGTCCTGGGTCAGCAAATACTGAATTTCATGCATGTCAACGGGTCTGTAGCCATAGAAGGTGGTCATGGGTCTCCGCTCTCAAAAATCAGTGCAAAACCAGTGAGGTTGAACAGTTGAGTGACTCGAGTTAACAAGAAGCAGGCTGGACCCCTGTTGGAGCTGCTACCGAATGGGAGGGCACCTGGGGGTGAGGGCGAGTCAGTGGGCGGGGAGGTGGCAGGCAGGGCGGGGCCCGCAGCCCGCACTAAGATGCTGGGAGCTCCGCGCAGGGCAAAGTGTCCAGCAGAGCCTCCCAGGCCAGTGTACGTGGGATATCCGGGTTCCTCTGTTGTCCTGGGGCTGGCGGTCCTGCCAGCTTCCATGACAAGCTGGACCCCTCAGGCCCTAGGGCATGAGGCAGGGCTGGGAGGACTGTGGCATGGCCTGTGTCTTCTGCGGGGCCTTGGGAAAAGCTCCCAGGCCCACATCTGTGCGTGTGCCCAGGCCAGGCCTCCTGGCGGGGATGGCTGCCCTGGCCTAGCACCATGGAGACCCCAGCGCTGCACTCTCAGGGCCCTACTTGGGGCCTGTGGCGGCCCCCGGCTCGAGGCGGCCCGTCATGGCGCGGCCCCAGCAGCTG